TGACAACCTCGCCTGCTCGACGTTCAGTCCGCTCTGTATCCATTACAGTCCATGAAAGTCCCCTGCTACGTAAAGGTCTCCTCCCATAGATTGCTACATAGATGGGATATTGCCATAGTTGCTTGACTCGTGGCAAGCAAGTTGGCAACGCTGTATTTTATTATTTTCAGTAGTTGTCAGGAAGCTGCTGCTGTTCATCGCCTGTTTCATATTTAACTTTAAATGAATAGTAAATTTAAGACAAACTACAGACTTGTGTTACAAAAATACCATATCAAGTGCTTTTATAATAATTTATGAAATTTATGGAGAAAGAAGCTCCCGTAATAAAGAAACCGAATGAACAAAGTAACTTACGTAACTAACATTATATTGTTAAAATATTATCATTTAGTACTAATTATTTCACTTTTTACGTTTTGTTTATATATGTATCAGAATATTTACAGAAGTTGAACATTCAAATAAGTATAAATGGAGAATAAAATTCCAACTGTATACATAAAAAGGCTACGACGCAAAAACGGACTACGACGGAAAAGAGACTACGACGCAAAAGGCTTGTTACATAACAAAGGTTTTATCTGATTTATAAGCTTGTTAAGAAAAGTGAAATGCGTGGAATAAAGCTTGACTTAATCAAACTTAATTAATTTATGTTACGATCAGAAAACAAACATTTTTGTGTTTTTCACAAGCTTTTTTCAGTATCCCTGCATCATGGGACTGAGTATTCCTCTATAGGTAGAGGTTGGGTAGAGGCCTCGCCGGCCGGCAGACGTGCGCTTTTACATGTATTTACGTTTAAGTGACAAGTGCTGTGCCATTGCCATGTCAATAACATCGATAGTTATATTTTATAGCCATAGTTTTTAAGCTTAATAAAAATACACCTTATATTATCCACCAGTTGGCGAGTTTTTATCAAATAGTTTATTTATAAATTACTCGACAACAGGTTTTTACGGTTCAAAATATGGGACTACAAATTTTATACACAAACCAATAAACCAAATTACTTAGGTATTTTATCGTTTATCGTTTTATCGTTTAAAAAAACATATGGTTTTTCATTTTTAAAAAAGCTTTGTGGCACCAGATAAAGAAGGATTGAGTTCTGGGCACGACTGCGGTTCTTACGGCGCCAGAATTCGAATTTAATACGGTGGATTCGCATATTCGCTTAATTAAACGAGATATCGAAAAATGTTATTATTACTTTTCGGCGTACCTTGTCGAATGGATGGCATTATGTTTGTGTGCAACATGCTTATTAATTGCAGAATTATTCCGCAGTAAGCAAATTTTGATATTATTTAAAAGTTATTTTGATATTCAACGCACTACATGGATATCATCATTGTGATATTTTTTATATGTACCTTTACTTTACAAAAGTTATGCAAAGATCTGAAGTTGGACTCAGAAAATTCATTTTTTAGATTAAGATTTTGTTTGGAAAGACGCAAAGAGAGAGTGCAGCTGTAGAATTTATATTTTTGGCACAGCATTACTGTCGAGGTAGGTACAACCCTCTTATCTGTTATTACCATCAAATAGCAGTACGCGAACTGCTGTGTTCCGGCCTAAAGGGCCTTAGTATTCAGTGATAACGCATCTGTAGCGTTCTTTGTTTGAAGTTGGCTGAAGACGTCCATGAACTCAGTAGCCACTTACCATCCGGTATCTAATTGTAAGTTCGTTGGTCATTTAAGTATATTAAAAAAGCATAATCATATAAACTAACGGGTATATTATTCATTTAAAATTAAGGTAAATTAAAGAACTTCGATCTCGTAATAAACAAATTAACCAAAATATTTATATTTTATATATCATAAAGTAAAAATTTGCAGAGAACTGCGCGTCGATAGATCAATGGTACATCACTATTGTTAGCTCCGCCCAACCTTCTTTCAGTCACTCTCGTCTGGCGCTCGCGAACGGACACTTTTACCCGCCATTTCTCTCTGCGACGCCATTTCGTGATCTGGCTTTACTTCCTTGTTTACCCTTCTTAACGACAAGGAAAGTGTGAATTTTAATCAATAATAACGGTAAGTACAAGCTCTTTCAGTTCTTTTCGGTTTTTTTTGTATCATAATAGCAAGTTTTGTTTACTTGCTGTGGAGTATATAGAATACAAAGGAAATTTTTAAATTCATATTCACTTTTTGCAATACAATAACATGAAAAATATAAAAAAAGGAAAATAAATAATAAATAATTTTCAATAAAATATAATTAAAATTTCATAGCAAAAATACATATTGTGTAAATATGTTTACTCGAAATATTGTTACAACATATATTTATAAGGATTTACTGCTATTTTATTTATTCTTTTCATCTGATTTATTCATTATAAAAGCCTTCTCAAGTTTTTTCATAAAATCAACAAAAGCTTATCTATTACGGCACAGCTTTTCCTATTCAAGTATGCGACACGCCCACGCGAACATCGAACTCTAGTAAAATCGGGTCAAATACCGCTGTAAATAGTTCAGATGTTAAAGTAAATATTATTTCCGAAAAATTCCTTAACTTAATTTTACAATTATAAACTAAGACGTTGTAGAATTAAAATGAAAGTATTTTAAATTTAAAACGGTAAATAATATCATTCGAGGGTAGATTTTTTATTGCATTGACTGTTAGAGAAAGCCAGGCTTCAAGTATGCCCTTTGTATTCTTTAGTAAGAACAGTTACAGCTTAACAAAAGGATGCTACTCAACACAGGTCTAACCCATAGATTAACTTGTATTTTATATTTGCCATAGTTGCCACACTAGGTAGGCGGATTAGCAACCATTGTTTATTTTTATTTTAATTATTAATAGGAATATGCTGCTGCCTATCACTTGGTTTGTTTCCCCCAGTCGCCTCATTCATGACAATATGGGGTAGAGAATATTAATAAAATAATGCAAATATAATATAAACATATATTAATACATGACGGGAATACAAAATAATTAATTAAAATTAATTTAAAATTATAAAGCAGTAAATACTGGGTTGATCCACCATCAAAAGACGCTCATTCAAAGGGCTAGTAAGAAATGGAAAGGGAAAAGTATTCATTACAATTTATAAAAATTCCACTGCTAAACGTAGGCCTTCCGCATTGATCGCTAATCCTGTCAAACGAATCGATTGAATCTTAGGAAGGATATTTAGTTAGAACCCGTCGAATGGATCTTGAATTGTAGAGGCGGAAGGGCTCAGTAGCTGCGACTAACAACCGTGGGGTAGTCAGTGCGAGTCCGATATAGTCCGTATTTATCGATATCGATCCAGATGCACAGGCATTGAAAAGTGGCTCATGAAAAAGGCTCAGGGCCACTGATGCACGTCATTCTTTCATTAATTACAGCCTATCAAAAATAGAATTCAAATAGGCCCTCATAGGATTACCTTATAGGGGTGGGGGGGAGGACATTTGCCATAATTGCCACGTTGGGATTTTTTAATTATTTTGTGTTGTTATTCGGAAAATTCAGCTGCCTAACTCCTGTTTCATTTTCTTTTGTGTCCTCTTACGACATTCATGGGGTGATACAGTGTTGTGACGTCACATATGCCGCCACTACACGGCGTTTAGTACGAGTTTATAATTATGTTGTTTAAGGTAAATCTCAGTCTATAAAATTTCACTGTTAAACGTAAGAAACATTTGTCTTAATTGCCACCCTAGCGTTTTGAACGTAATGATATACTGCCATTTAGGGGAATCAATAAAAATTTTATGGCATTTCTCATTGTAACCTCTTACGACAACCACAAGAAGAAATAGGGTCATGAATTATAAATATGATATTATATATTATTTTAGTCCGTGTTATGTTTAAAAAATACTGTGTGGCTAAAAAAATAAGGCACTTTCTTTCGTTCACGAATATTTTATATGTTTTTATTTATTTTTTTACAAGCACAAAAGTTTTAAAATTATTATCAACAACATGATAAGTGCAAAAAAAACAAGAATTTGGTTTGGATTCGATATCACAATTTCTTCTCGCGATATACGAGAGAAAAAAGTTGATTAACGTATGAAAGTACACGCATAACTTACTCAAATACTTAAATCGAGATCCTTTAGAAAATTACAATGAAATCGAATTCTATGGATTTCAAAACGGAGTATGGTGAAATTTGGACTCCCATATATTGGCCCCATTATTATATACATTTAAACTACCACCTACTTACCTCATACTAGACGAATTATTCAATTAAACTATTACCTCGTAGTTCATACTCTTTCCAAAAAATCAAAAAATGTTAGTGACTTAGTACACAATGTAAGCGGTATTTAGAAATCGAATTATTTTCATTGAAATCGGAGTAAAATAACGAGATAATCATGATAGAACATGATGTAAAAGAATCATTGGTAAGCTGTCAAAAAGTTTTTTGTTAAGTTTTAAGTTATGACGCATATATAGATGTTGTTACATTACTATTGTTTTAAGACCTTGACTCGGAACGTGATTTTTTTTGTATATTATATATACACTTTTAGTACATAAAATTGAAGTAGCAAACGAACTTCAGTTACACCTGATGAACCTGAGTATACCTTATAATCTTTAATTATACTGACTTTCTAAAGTTTTTGATCGTAGAATGCACTATTGCTTGACGGCGGAAATAATAAGGAGAACGACACTAACATACTCTGAAACAAAGAAGGTTCCTACTATTTACGCGGCGTATAGGATGGCCCTACAATAGATAGTGAACACCTAGTTTCTCAAAGAGCATGCAGCAAGTCGATTAGTGTGGGTCAAGATCACTCAGCGAGGTAGGATGAGGGTTACGCTCGGAGATTCTCTGGGCGATAGACTTCGTAATGGTAATGTTAGCAGTGGGACTGAAGTAACGAACGAAACTCTCTGTTCTAGTGCTTGGAAGTGGCTGCCATTGTTTTACTTCTTTTGTTGCTATGATTGGTGTTTCAGGTTGAATATTTATATTGTTGTAATTATCCGATAAATCAGGGCTTGGTATCACAGGGGTTTTGGAAGCAAGAAGACGGTATTGTTTGCATCGTATTTACATCAGTATATTCAACACTGGTGCACGAAAATGGTGGATCATCCGAGGTAACATCTTTTGGTATTCCGTTGTCATCTACGTCATTAAGCTCTGAAAACAAAGGATCCACAATCATGTTCTCATTCTCAATAGCCGGTAAGTTGTCGTTCTCTTCAGGTAAAGTAACGAACTCATAATCCTGGAAAATATCCTTATTAAAAGGATATATGCCCGTACTTCGAAATCCACTTTCAGCGGTTGCAATAGATGCAGACGGGTGTAGGCTTTACCGAAAAGAATTGAAATTTGAAATACTGTAACACGTTTTCCTGGATTTGTACGCAGCCACTTCTCTGTTTCATCTATATAATAGCAACTCAACGGTCTAAAAAACGAAGTATCTAGGGGCTGCAGTTTATTGGAAGTGTGAGCAGGAAGTGACAGTAACACAACATTGTTTTCCTTGGCATATTTAATAGCATCCAAATTTTTTGTGTGACTAGTGCCGCACTGTATCTGTAGGCTCAAATGACCATGGGTTGTAGGTGCGAGAATATATAAGTCGCGGTTTCTTAAGATGATGTTCTTTTAATTTATTTAAGGATACATAAAAGATATTAAAAGAGTAGTTACCACACAGCAGCATTAAGCATTAATGGTTTGTATTGGTGCTGGCAGACGTCTATATGCAGAAATATTACTTTTAATAACTGATTGTTGTGGCGATGGAGCTTGGCAGTCGTTGTGAAGGGGTCGCGGGAAGTAGGGGGTATTACGAGGCCCGCCCACCCGCACTACGCTCCGCAACTTAAATTTAGTTGAGTCAGAAGGGCCGGTACTTCCAAGTGCCGTATCGGACTCATTTAAGTCAGTTGCGGAAGTGACGTTGAAGGCTACGGAGGACGGAATGCACGTCTTATGTTCAGATGTGCCGTACTAGAGAAGGAGAAAGGAATGGAGTTGTCATCTTCCGAGGAGGAACCGCTAAGGGGTAGTTAATGCTGGTGGGGCCGTGGATTTGCGCAGAGGCATTCCCGTGGCGTGCGTAAAGCACCGACTTTGCTGCAAATTAGAAGGGGCTAGTATGAGGCGAAGGCGTGCTTTACAGTATTCTTTGGGGACTGACTGGTGAATATAGGCCTATATTCATCAGTCGACCTGTGATGAGCTTTAATGATGATGACGATGAATGTAATACAGTCAAACGTAAAACATCAACAATATAATACATTAATAACCAAAATAAATTTACTATGAGGATTTTCTATTTTCATTATAAGAATATTTCAATAGAATCTGTGCTTGTGTCAGTTTTTTTTTACTCTGAAAATAAAGTTCTATATTTTAACTATAGGACAGAAGATTTTTACTATAACTATTAAATAATGTTATACAGTTCTGCATTAAGATATAGAAATTTAACCGACAGTTAAAATTAAAAATGACAAAGTCACATTTCGTAGAGAGTGAGTGCTACGTATAGTGCTACGAACTCGAAAAAATGTTTGTGTAATGTTAATATTAAAGAACCTTTTTAAATTATTATTACAAAATATTATTTTCGTCAGTTATTAATTTATCATCATCATCTTCATCATCACAGTGTTTTACAAGTCCACTACTGAACATAGGTCTTCCCTAATGAATGCCACAAAACAGGGTCCTGATCATCCATCGATTTCCTGCACGTTTTACCAGGTCGTCACTTCATCTAGTAGGAGGCCGCCCTAAGCTTCGTTTACCGATACACAGCTGCCACTCGAAAACTTTGCTTCCCCGTCGGTTGTGGATTTTTTGGGCTATATGGCCGGCCTATTGCCACTTACTAATCCGCTGGGCTATGATTACTCTAGTTGAACTGCGAATATTCTCATCCTCAATTTGTCATATTCCTCTATAATTAACTTTTCTATTTCTCAGTCCACTACCGCATAGGGTACTTTCTCATAATTGAAAAGACTTGCTATAATCGTCGGATTGGCAGCTATATTGACAATTCCAATATTGTTAATGGAAAACCAGAATTTTGGTCGGCGCAAAATTTTTAGATTTTGCGGCTTCTTTCAAAATAAATCTTGGCGTTTTCCATTTGTAGACTTAATAAAGTAGCTTAACGGAATTACGTGATGATAACTCGCTCATCCTATCATAATATGGCTCACTTGAAAAACTTCCTAGTTGCTGAAAATATGGTATGCACAGAAATAAAAGAAGATACAAAGAACACATAATAATCTTACGTAAATGCTTAAAAAGAACTGAGTTAATTGTGTATTATCTCCCATTCCATAATAACGAGATAAGTATTTGTTGGAATTTACTCATCTTAAAGTTAACAATCCACGTGAAAGTTAATAAACTACTGAACAAACAACTCTAACAAGTAGGAGGTTACAGATGCGTTGTTGACCCTGGTTTCTGAGAACTTAGAATACCTTACAGTTTGTATTTATCTATACAAATAAATAAAATTGAAGTGACTAAATGCATTTGTTTCCAAAAATGAGGAAAGAACTGTGTGGGAAAAAATTAGGGACGATGATGAAGTGAAGTTGGCAATTTTGGCCTATTTTGACACCCACAAATCTTTTTTTTAGACGGTATTGGAAAGATATTTGACAGATATTAGGGTTAAGGAAGAATACATTGAAAAGGAAAAATAGTTTAATATTTCATTTTATTATCCATCCCTGTCATACCGCAAACTTTTTGAACTCCCCTCATATATCAAAAAACAATTTTTAAATTTTTTTCTGTCTATCTGCTATGTTTGTTCCGGCTAATCTCCAAAACAGCTCGATCGATTTTGTTGGGACTTTCACTGGTAGATAGCTGATATTATAAAGAGTAACTGAGCCTAAGTTTTATTCTAGATAGAGAATAGAGTTCCGTGCAAAAAACCCATTAAATTTGATTGCAATAAATTCAACATGGGCTTCAGTCACAAGAAACAGCTAGCAAAACGTAAATAAGACTTAAATTAGGCTACAAAATGATTCCAATTACAATATGTTAGATACTTAGCGTAGTTTTCTTCTCGATCAGCACGCGCTCCAGCACAGTTTCTGTAAGAAAAATTTGCCACATAGTTTTCGCCACGTTTGACTGGATCAGCGATCGCAAGATATCTCAAAAATTCTACATTGCTCGCCGTCGCCAGTCTAGTTATTTTACTTCTGACACAAATTAAATGGTTATACCACAATCTATCGACGTCTGCTGCTGTGGTTTCCCATAAGTAGTTAGGTTGTACCAGTTCTGGCGCACTTGTAGAAAGGTTGTACCAGTTCTGGCGACGACTCATAATCCTAAAAAAAAAAAAAAGGTTTTGGCATGCTCTGATCACGAATCTGCGGTCCATTTTTGCGTAGGATGCACGTTTCCGGAGATGTGCAGATCAATTAACTCTTATTTAATTGATATCCGCTGCGAGCCTCAACCGTCATTAGCGCTCCATTGTCCTTATCTACTTATCTATTGTTGATTGACTACCGTCATTATCTATTATTCGTCAGCGTGTGGGTCGGCTTATGCTATTGTATTATACTCCTTTGTTCCTATCTACAACACTAATCTGAATCATCAATAAAACACATTACCTAATTTTGTTAAAATTTTTATTTATAAAATACAAAATCTTATTACTTATTATCTATAAAATAGGAGCGAAACATCTCATCCACTAAAATATCGTTGTACAATGTGTTCTCTGTAAATATACTCGTAAAACTATGCATTGAACATCCCTGAAACTTATATAGCAAATACATTAAGCAATATTCGCCACAAACTGAAGTCCTATCAACATTCCAGTTCCATCTTTTAAACACATTACCTAATTTTGTTAAAATTTTTATTTATAAAATACAAAATCTTATTACTTATTATCTATAAAATAGGAGCGAAACATCTCATCCACTAACATATCGTTGTACAATGTGTTCTCTGTAAATATACTCGTAAAACTATGCATTGAACATCCCTGAAACTTATATAGCAAATACATTAAGCAATATTCGCCACAAACTGAAGTCCTATCAACATTCCAGTTCCATCTTTTAAACACATTACCTAATTTTGTTAAAATTTTTATTTATAAAATACAAAATCTTATTACTTATTATCTATAAAATAGGAGCGAAACATCTCATCCACTAACATATCGTTGTACAATGTGTTCTCTGTAAATATACTCGTAAAACTATGCATTGAACATCCCTGAAACTTATATAGCAAATACATTAAGCAATATTCGCCACAAACTGAAGTCCTATCAACATTCCAGTTCCATCTTTTACAATTTCGTACAGGTGCCCGTCCATATGAATCAAAATATTCACCGACGTCATTCGTATCGATATATAAAGCTACCCAATGTGACCCTGGTTTATCATCTGTACCCAAATTGCATATAACTAGTCAGGTCATAAATTCTATCACATATTTAATATAAAATAATTGAAACGAGTTTATTCATTATGTAACCATTTATATACCAAAATGAACTTAACAAAACATAGATTCTTATGACACTATAGTTTATTCAAAATGACCTCCGTAATTTTGAATACAGGCCTTCAATCTGCGCGGCCAGTCGTCTATCTCACCACGAACGATTTTGAATACAGGCCTTCAATCTGCGCAGCCAGTCGTCTATCTCACCACGAACGAGGTCCATGTCATATCGGCGGCTGCCTAATTAAAGATGTCTTGAGTGACTCGAAATTGGGATGAGGCTTTGAGCACGCCTTTTCCTCCAAGTGTTACCATATCTTGTAATCTAACGGATTCAAATCTGGACTGGTCTTTGTGTCGGATGAAGTCGATTTCACGCGCCGCCAGCCAGTCTTTTTTTTTGTTTTTAAAGAACGTTACCTCCACACTAGGTTTTTCTCCTGTATCGTGGGGGCAGTTTACAAACACAAATTTCACAAGGACAAACATCCAAACTCGGAACAATTACTTGTAGGTCGTACAAATACTTGTTCCGTGCGGGATTCGAACCCGCGACCCCCAAGCGCAGCCACTCATTGCTAAGCCACTACGCCACGGAGCTGTCAAAAGTCTTGTGTGCTCTTCGCTCTATGAGCTGACGCCGAATCTTGTTGGAATACCCAGTGCCTGTTATTGAACATGGTATGAGAAACAGGTTACACAAGGTTCGTCAGGACTGTATTTTGATACACAACTGCATTCGTTTTTAACCTTTCTCACAAAAATGTACCTCTGTTAAGCCCCCATAAGAAACTCCCAACCATACCATGAGCGAGGATGGAAAATGACCTCGTTGGACACGCGGAATACGGTTGCTCGCTTCTTCACTACTGTGTGCGTACACCTTATCATTTTGTTTGTTGTAGCTCTCTTCTACGGTAAAAATTTTTTTATCCGAAATAAGAATTTCCCGATATTTTTTTCCCGCGTACCGCTTCACCAAAGCGCGGCATCTCTTCAGTCTCAGATCCATTAGACGAGCATTCAAACGATGTCCTGTTTTTCTTCGATATGCCCGAAGCCCTAAGTCTTCATTTAACGCCGTGGTTCTGCTTAACCCCATCTGAAGGGCCAACAGTTTCTGCTTACGTTTGGGATTTCTTCGAATTCGCACCTTTACAGCTTTTATCACTGCTGGAGTCCTAACAAATCGAGGGCGACCACTTCTTGACCTGTCATCTACACTAGAGTCTTCATTGTACCGTTTGATGGTACGATAAACGAATCTTTTGGTTATATTCAAATTTTTCAGTATATCAAAAAATTTAATTGGCGCGTAATCGCAACTGCAACACGGTCTTTTTTAAGCGTCCACTCCATATGTAAAAATGAGTAAAATTCTAAAAAGTATACAGTTTTATTTTCATGAACAATTCGAATTCAATAAACTTTTTTTGTGGCCAGCATTCTAAAAGAAAAGTTTTTACTGTGTGACAATACTTATGACCTGACTAGGTATATACGTTGGTACGTGGGTGTACATGGGCAGTCTGTTAGCAGCATAAACATTATTTTCTAGACTGGGGTGAATCTTTTTCAGATGTTGTTGTACATCTAGTGTATCCATGATATTACTGCTATTAGTAGATTACTACAGTACAATCTACTCAATGACTAACATAGGAATGATCAATTATGTGATTTCTAAATATTAAATTGCATTTTTTCTGTTATACAAAACGTATTTGAGTCATCAATACACTGAATAAGACGCAACACGAAGAATGTGAGATAAGGTTGTTGACGCATAAAGTTATTATCAATTCTACTGTAGAAATTCTTTAGATTAGAATTATTACTTACTGGTACTATATAAGACCAAGCAACTGCAGTCATGGAGTTAGTGTATGGTCGTTTTACCGCAGTGTATCTATCAATAATACATTTGCGTTACTTCAACGCATCAAAGGCCATAGATGTAAGTGTTTAATCTATTGACAAACTTACTTTTCTTTCTGTTATTTTTTTACGTGTGTATGATTTTGAACGACAGGCCTGTTGGTCTAGTGGTTAGTGACCCTGACTGTTATGCCGGAGGTCGTGGGTTCGATTCCCACCCAGGACAAATGTTTGTGTGATGAGCACGATCATTTGTTCTGTGTCTGGGTGTAATTTATCTATAATATTTATGTATTTAGAAATATATAAGTATGTTTATCAGTTGTCTAGTACCCATAACACAAGCTCTGCTTAGCTTGGGACTAGATGGCGTTGTGTGATAGTTGTGGAATATTATTATTATTGTGGGGTATCTATATAGTTTTCTCATCTGGTTGGGTTCTATAAATATATAATTATAAATGAAAATGAAAAGATAAATATACATATATATCAATAACATAAAATAAATATAAAAATACATAAATAAATAAAAGCCCAACCAGATGGAGGCCCTCGGCAGGGGAGACCAAACGGCCGAGGGTTAGGGGGAAAGGGAAAGAAACCGGCGGACGATGCGGGCGGTATCGAGGAGCACCGCCTTCTGCATTTGAGCCCGGAGCGGTCCGCCACGTAGTCCCAGTCGCCTCAGATGACCCGAGAGGCTGACTGGAATTAGCCCGTTTGCAGAGACGACTACAGGAATAATTTCGGTCGGCAGACCACCCCACATGTCCGTCACCTCGTGAGCCAGGTCCAGATATTTTGTTTGCTTGTCTGTTTCGGCTTTCACGAGGTTCTCGTCATACGGAATGGTAATGTCGACCAAAAATATCCTTGACTGTGCCCGGTCCATCAGCACAATATCAGGCTTATTCGCAAGAATAGTCCTGTCTGTGATGATGGCCCGGTCCCAATAGAGCCTGGCGCGATCATTTTCGAGCACGGCTTCCGGCAAGTACTTGTAATACGGCAATTTCCGATCCACGAGACCGTATTTCAGAGCGAGCTCCTGGTGAAGAATTCTGGCTACTAGGTTGTGCCTGTGCAAGTACTCAGAGTTAGAAAGCGCCGAACAACCGGAGATGACATGCCTAAGTGACTCACCGGGATGGCGACAAGCTCGACAGATGTCCACGGTGCCATCCTTTAGGATGTATCTCCGATAGTTGTTGGTCTTAATAACCTGATCCTGTATTGCACAGACAAAACCCTCGGTTTCCCCCGAAGAGATCACCAAAGCGTAGCCAGTGGAGGGAGGCTACTGTGTCTACGAAAGGCTCATGTAGAGCCTTGTAGAACCTCCCGTGGAGCTCCTTCTCCTTCCATACGTTCTCCCGGTCGGAAATTGTCTGCACTGCCGGGTCTTGCCATTGCTCGTTGGCTAAGGATAGAGGGGTAAATCCTTTATCACTAGAAATGACGTCCTTATAGAATGGATCATCCGATCTCGCCAAGAAGTAATTACGGAGGCTGCACACTTCGCGATTATGCATGGTGAGCGCGCTCAAGAAGCCACGCCCACCATGCTTTCGCGGCAAGTACAGCCTCATTACCGACGATCTCGGATGATGCATCCTGTGGGACGTCATGGTAGTGCGGACTTTTCTATCCAGGGCGTTAAGTTCAGTCTGAGTCCACCTGAGTATGCCAAAGGTATACATGAGGACAGGCATGACCCAGCTGTTATATGCGTGTGTCTTATTCACACCGGACAAAAGGCTGTTAAGCACTTTGGTCAAGCGTGCATAAAACACGTCGCAAACTGACTGTTTCATACTAGCCTCATCGATACCGATGTTCTGTGACATACCCAGGTATCGGTATGTTTCAGCCTCGGAAAGGGTCCTTAAGTTGACGGGCATAGATAAGTCTATGCCCTCAGAGTTAGCAACCCTCCCCCTTTCAACATGGAGGACCGCACACTTATCCGTTCCCAGCTCCATTCCAATAGAATTGCTAAATTCACAAGTGATGTTTAGCAATTCCATAAGATGGGAGCGACTGGAGGCGAATAACTTGAGGTCATCCATATAGAAAAGGTGGGTCACTTTTGTACCTCCTTTCCGAAGCTGAAATCCCCTCCCGGAGCCCTCCAGTAAAGTACTGAGAGGGTTCAGGGAGAGGCAAAACCAGATTGGACTCAGACAATCGCCCTGGAAGATACCCCTTCTTATCCTTATGTGGTTCTCCGCAGCCATCATCCGCTCGCCCAGATAGCAAAGGATCGTACTCCATTGCCCCATACACTGCTCGAGGAAGTCTCCAACTGTACAGTCAATTTTGTACAGCTGGAGGACTCTCTTTAGCCATGTATGGGGCACCGAGTCGAATGCCTTTCTGTAGTCTATCCAGGCGGCGGAGAAATTCCGACGGTTGCGTTTCACCACTTTGCCAATGACCGCGTCAATGAGGAGTGGTTCCTTGGTTCCACGACCACCGCCCCGGCATCCATTTTGAGCGCGTGACATCACCTGATTTAGCTCCAGGTGACGAGTGATTCTCGCGCTCAAAATGGATGTCAGTGTCTTATATATGGTGGGTAGACACGTGATGGGGCGGTATTTGCTCGGGTCTGTGGTATCCTGATCTTTAGGAACCAAATGAGTGATCCCAGTAGTGAAGAGGCTCGGGAGCGACTTCTGATCGAGAGCCTCTTGAAACTGTCGGGCGAGCACAGCGTGACACACTACGAACCCCTTCAGCCAGTAATGATGCAGCCCGTCGAGCCCCGGACTTTTCCAGTTCGGGGCCCTACGGACCGCCTCAGCCACGTCTTCAGGCGTTATGGTGACGGGGTCCATAGGCGTAACACTTGCACTCTGGCTCGCCACAACTTCCATCCAAGGGCCCTCGCTGTGGTTTACGGGCTCTGACCACAGGCCACGCCAAAATGCGACAGTGTCAGCCTGATCCGGTCCTGGGCCCGCTCCACATACCTCTGGTCGCTCCAATGATTTATAGAGCCTCTTCTGATCACTCTGGAAGAGACGATTCTGGTTGAACCGCCTTGACCTCTCGCTAAATCGTCGAATCCGCTTCCCCCAAGCAGCGACTTTTTGCTTCAGGTCATCTATGCGCTCCGTTAGTTTTTGCGTGATATCCGGCTGGAACAAACTGATATTTGTCCCAGCAAACGCCATCCTAATGGTGCGCATAATCCTCGGTCTATTATTACCCGACCTGAAGCTTGTCAGTCTGCCGATAAGGGCCTGCCTTCGAAATTTTCTCAGACATGCAAGTTTCCTCACGATGTTTTCCTTCACCGCCGAGCACGTGGTAAATCAGCACTTAAAATTGCAATTAACAATTTAAGTGGTGTCGGCGGGGGATCGAACCCGCGTTACGTACTGTAAAATTTACAGCTTTCGCTAACCATCTGAGCTACGACGGCTTAATCATATACACACACAAAATATTTAAATATAATTTGTTAACACTAAATCATACACACGTAAGAAAATAACAGAAAGAAAAGTAAGTGTGTCAATAGAATAAACACTTAAAATTGCAATTAACAATTTAATTGGTGTCGGCGGGGATCGAACCCGCGTTACGTACTGTAAAATTTACAGCTTGCGCTAACCATCTGAGCTACTACGGCTTAATCATATACACACACAAAATATTTAAATATAATTCGTTAACACTAAATAATAATAATAATAATAATATTCCACAACTATCACACAACGCCATCTAGTCCCAAGCTAAGCAGAGCTTGTGTTATGGGTACTAGATAACTGATAAACATACTTATATATTTCTAAATACATAAATATTATAGATAAATTACACCCAGACACAGAACAAATGATCGTGCTCATCACACAAACATTTGTCCTGGGTGGGAATCGAACCCACAACCTCCGGCATAACAGTCAGGGTCACTAACCACTAGACCAACAGGCCTGTCGTTCAAAATCATACACACGTAAAAAAATAACAGAAAGAAAAGTAAGTTTGTCAATAGATTAAACACTTACATCTATGGCCTTTGATGCGTTGAAGTAACGCAAATGTATTATTGATAGATACACTGCGGTAAAACGACCATACACTAACTCCATGACTGCAGTTGCTTGGTCTTATATAGTACCAGTAAGTAATAATTCTAATCTAAAGAATTTCTACAGTAGAATTGATAATAACTTTATGCGTCAACAACCTTATCTCACATTCTTCGTGTTGCGTCTTATTCAGTGTATTGATGACTCAAATACGTTTTGTATAACAGAAAAAATGCAATTTAATATTTAGAAATCACATAATTGATCATTCCTATGTTAGTCATTGAGTAGATTGTACTGTAGTAATCTACTAATAGCAGTAATATCATGGATACACTAGATGTACAACAACATCTGAAAAAGATTCACCCCAGTCTAGAAAATAATGTTTATGCTGCTAACAGACTGCCCATGTACACCCACGTACCAACGTATATACCTAGTCAGGTCATAAGTATTGTCACACAGTAAAAACTTTTCTTTTAGAATGCTGGCCACAAAAAAGTTTATTGAATTCGAATTGTTCATGAAAATAAAACTGTATACTTTTTTAGAATTTTACTCATTTTTACATATGGAGTGGACGCTTAAAAAAGACCGTGTTGCAGTTGCGATTACGCGCCAATTAAATTTTTTGATATACTGAAAAATTTGAATATAACCAAAAGATTCGTTTATCGTACCATCAAACGGTACAATGAAGACTCTAGTGTAGATGACAGGTCAAGAAGTGGTCGCCCTTGATTTGTTAGGACTCCAGCAGTGATAAAAGCTGTAAAGGTGCGAATTCGAAGAAATCCCAAACGTAAGCAGAAACTGTTGGCCCTTCAGATGGGGTTAAGCAGAACCACGGCGTTAAATGAAGACTTAGGGCTTCGGGCATATCGAAGAAAAACAGGACATCGTTTGAATGCTCGTCTAATGGATCTGAGACTGAAGAGATGCCGCGCTTTTGGTGAAGCGGTACGCGGGAAAAAAATATCGGGAAATTCTTATTTCGGATAAAAAAATTTTTACCGTAGAAGAGAGCTACAACAAACAAAATGATAAGGTGTACGCACACAGTAGTGAAGAAGCGAGCAACCGTATTCCGCGTGTCCAACGAGGTCATTTTCCATCCTCGCTCATGGTATGGTTGGGAGTTTCTTATGGGGGCTTAACAGAGGTACATTTTTGTGAGAAAGGTTAAAAACGAATGCAGTTGTGTATCAAAATACAGTCCTGACGAACCTTGTGTAACCTGTTTCTCATACCATGTTCAATAACAGGCACTGGGTATTCCAACAAGATTCGGCGTCAGCTCATAGAGCGAAGAGCACACAAGACTTTTGACAGCTCCGTGGCGTAGTGGCTTAGCAATGAGTGGCTGCGCTTGGGGGTCGCGGGTTCGAATCCCGCACGGAACAAGTATTTGTACGACCTACAAGTAATTGTTCCGAGTTTGGATGTTTGTCCTTGTGAAATTTGTGTTTGTAAACTGCCCCCACGATACAGGAGAAAAACCTAGTGTGGAGGTAACGTTCTTTAAAAACAAAAAAAAAAAAGACTGGCTGGCGGCGCGTGAAATCGACTTCATCCGACACAAAGACCAGTCCAGATTTGAATCCGTTAGATTACAAGATATGGTAACACTTGGAGGAAAAGGCGTGCTCAAAGCCTCATCCCAATTTCGAGTCACTCAAGACATCTTTAATTAAGGCAGCCGCCGATATGACATGGACCTCGTTCGTGGTGAGATAGACGACTGGCTGCGCAGATTGAAGGCCTGTATTCAAAATCGTTCGTGGTGAGATAGACGACTGGCCGCGCAGATTGAAGGCCTGTATTCAAAATTACGGAGGTCATTTTGAATAAACTATAGTGTCATAAGAATCTATGTTTTGTTAAGTTCATTTTGGTATATAAATGGTTACATAATGAATAAACTCGTTTCAATTTTTTTATATTAAACATGTGATAGAATTTATGACCTGACTAGGTATATGCAATTTGGGTACAGATGATAAACCGGGGTCACATTGGGTAGCTTTATATATCGATACGAATGACGTCGGTGAATATTTTGATTCATATGGACGGGCACCTATACGAAATTGTAAAAGATGGAACTGGAATGTTGATAGGATTTCAGTTTGTGGCGAATATTGCTTAATGTATTTGCTATATAAGTTTCAGGGATGTTCAATGCATAGTTTTACGAGTATATTTACAGAGAACACATTGTACAACGATATGTTAGTGGATGAGATGTTTCGCTCCTATTTTATAGATAATAAGTAATAAGATTTTGTATTTTATAAATAAAAATTTTAACAAAATTAGGTAATGTGTTTAAAAGATGGAACTGGAATGTTGATAGGACTTCAGTTTGTGGCGAATATTGCTTAATGTATTTGCTATATAAGTTTCAGGGATGTTCAATGCATAGTTTTACGAGTATATTTACAGAGAACACATTGTACAACGATATTTTAGTAGATGAGATGTTTCGCTCCTATTTTATAGATAATAAGTAATAAGATTTTGTATTTTATAAATAAAAATTTTAACAAAATTAGGTAATGTGTTTTATTGATGATTCAGATTAGTGTTGTAGATAGGAACAAAGGAGTATAATACAATAGCAGAAGCCGACCCACACGCTGACGAATAATAGATAATGACGGTAGTCAATCAACAATAGATAAGTAGATAAGGACAATGGAGCGCTAATGACGGTTGAGCCTCGCAGCGGATATCAATTAGATAAGAGTTAATTGATCTGCACATCTCCGGAACCGTGCATCCTACGCAAAAATGGACCGAATGAGAGCATGCCAAAACTTTTTTTTTTTTTTAGGATTGTGAGTCGACGAACGTCGTATGCCAGAACTGGTACAACCTTTCTACAAGTGCGCCGGAACTGGTACAACCTAACTACTCCCATAGTTGCCACCCTCGATATTCGCAGGACGAAAAAAGGTGGCCGATTCTATTAACTTACGTAAATTTTTTTCTTGTTATTGGATAAAAGTAGGTAATTAATCGACTGGTTAATTAACTACTTTGATCGACTAACTTTAAAAAATTTTGTTTCGGATACAGTTAGAAAATACTCTATTTAAAAAAAGCTTCAAGGTAATTACAAAACTAACTAAATTACAAAACTCAGCTGAAGTTCTCTGCAATAACATAAATATTTTCAAGAGACTTCAAATAGGAAGAGGTATTCAATTCAACTGTATATTTTTTATGTGTGTTAATACCTCATAACATTTTCTCGGTGAACCGATTTCGATGATTTTTTTTAAAATTTCGAAACTGCTTCTTAATAAAAAAATGATTAAGGTCTGAGCAGTAGTATTTGAGTTATCGTGTTTTGTGATTGTAGGGAACCGGAGACCCATTTTACTGGAAATGAGGCATTCCACAGTTCAACGCATCTGTATTTTAATTCATAATCGAGGATAGGTGTTGATGTTAATGTGCCGCAGCATCCACTTACCATCAGGTGGACTGTGTGCTCGTTTTTACACTTATTTTTATTAAAACATTTGATGGTAGCTCATGAGAATCGATCACCCCATTTTGTCCCGTGGCTCCGATAAGGAGCAGCTATGGGAAATGATAAAATACCTCATGACACTATAACCATCTTGTTTACGCCAAGCGTAAAATGCTCAGATTGGCTAGGGAATATTGTCAAAGCTGAGAGGCGGCTGGTATTACAATCATGACAGTTTATCTACCTTAAACGGTAGAGCCTCATGTCTTCCATGAGGAGCTGATGATGATTAAGAAGAGAAAGATTATAAGATAACTGACATGATTAAATTGTAAATAAAATGTTTATATTGAAGTAATTTTATAAATGCCTAAACGTAAAAATAATTTTTTTAGGTTATTTAAAAAAATTACGCAATGCTTAATTTTATACGTAAACACACAATATTCGTTTTGTTTCCATTTAATTATTTACTAGTCCTGTATTCTTTCCAACACTAAGACTCAAGGTTTATCGCTCACAACCAAGAAATAAAGTATACGTAAATGGGTAACCTCCCTTCTTTATTCTTTATTTTACACACTATAAGTAGGTAACAAATTTTAAATAAGATGTACAAAGGCGAGCTTAACCCTAATAAGTGTTCTCT